TTTTTATTATTATTTCTTAGCTTAGTTTATAGTTTTGGAAAAGGAGAATCTGTCTATTTTTGCTGTTTTTATGATTTGGGGATGTTGCTTCAGTGTATCAGTGATGTTTTCATCTCAGAATTTTGACAGTGAGACAAATATTTGCCTTCGGTTGACGTATTCTGTTAAAGCTCCTCCACGGATTTATAGCCACAAAAATGTCCACACCTTATTTTTAATGAATTCATCAAAACTAGTTCAAAATATTACCACTTATTGCATTTCTAGTCTCAAGGTTGAAATGTGTTTTAATAAGTTCCATTTCTGTGGATGTGGAATCAAAGTCTTTCAGGGTGCACATATGTGGCTGTTGAACTTTATGCTTAAAGTAAAAGCCTTGGCAAGCTTGCCTGTTGTTCAGGAAATAGCAGCACATGGCCCATCCTGGTAAATATCCTCAGACAGCTTCCCTGCAGTTTTCTGGGCTGCACCCTTTCCCCCAAAACTCTGACATAAGACAGAAATGGAAAAGAAATGTTATGTGGAATAATAGAATTGAAAACTCTTTGGGTCTTTTCAAGGCGACCAACATGCCTTGGCTCATGGTCTTCTTCCAGCCTGTAATCTCAGCACACTGGCCTCTGTTTATGTCATTATATCTCCTTATCAGCCTCTCTGACCTTCCTGCCTTCTGCTTGTAATGGCCCATGTATGATCAATCAGTCCACCAGATGATCCAGGACAGTCTCTCCATCCATGATCCTTAACTTAATCACATCAGCAAAGTTCTTTTCCATGTATACTAACATATTCACAGGTTTGGGGGATTAGGACATGAACATCTCTAGGGGGCCATTATTCTGTCTACTGCACTCACTTGTCATGTTGAAACATTTTGCTGTGAAAACTAATATGTTAGATTACAGAGTGCTGTCCCAGGCCCTACTAGACTTGTTATAAAATATAACTTCTGAAATGAAAAAAAATCTGATTCAAAAATACATCTGCTCCTAAGGATGTAATATGAGAATAGAGACTTACATAGATCATTTCAGGGAATGATAAAGCTATGAAGAAAAATAAAGTAGGGTAAATGGGTGTGAGAAAGAGAGAGAGAGGGAGTGTGTGTGTGTGTGTGTGTGTGTGTGTGTGACAGAAGGCTTTTTGGATAAAGTGACTTTTGAGCAGAAACCTGCAGGAATGAGGGAGTGAGTCATGTATGTGATCATAGGGAACATTGTTAAAGGAGGAGGGAAGATTAAAGGCAAGGCTCCCAAAGTGAGTGCATGCTTCACATGCCCAATTGTTTGCAAGGAAGCCAATGCGAACTGAAGTGGAATGCAGAAGAAGGGCTTAGGAGGTGAAGCAAGAGAGGCAAGAGTGTTTAGGTGGGGGACTGGGCATCAGACTGGGTCATTGATTACATAGAGCCTTGGAAACCATGATCAAGACTGTGGATTTGATTCTTGGGCAGGTGGGGACACCAGCTACTATGATAAACACCAAAACTACAAAGATAAACAAGACATGGATCTTATTCCTTAAGGAGCTGTAGTTTAGTGATAAAGAAATAGTATCCTATCACCACAATTTTGGCATTTAAAGATGACAGAGGATACAGAAAAGATGCCAGTAAGAAAGTGACAGACAATGAGTAGGTATAGAGACTGGCTTGGTTTGGAGAGTCAAGGAGAAGGCAACTGCTTGGCTTTGGTTTTGTTCTCCTAGCCCCCCAAAAGTGGGATACACCAGCTAAAAATGTTTCATATTAAATATACTTGTTCATACTTGGTAAATACTTGATATTATTATTAAAGGTAATAGTTAAAGTTCTTAGTCAATTCCCTCCCCATTTTAAAGTAATAGAACTTTCCTTTATCAAATAATACCAAAGCTTTTAAAATCTTAACAGTATATTTTACTTTTACTTAAAATTATCTCTTTATTTTTCAGTTAACTTGGTACCTTTTATTGAAAAGACCATACCACTGCCATTGCATTTTATTTATTTATTTATTTATTTTTATTTCAATAGGTTTTGGGGAAACGGGTGGCATATGGTTCTATGAATAAGTTCTTTAGTGGTGATTTCTGAATTTTGGTGCACTCACCACCCGAGCAGTGTACACTGTACCCAGTGTGTAGTCTTTTATCCTTTTATCCCTCAGCTCCCTCCCATCCTTTCCCCCACTTGCCTTAAGTCCATTGTATCATTCTTAGACTTTTGTGTCCTCATAGCTTAACTCCCACTTATGAGTGAGAACATATGATGCTTGGTTTTCCATTCCATTCACTTGGAATAATGGTCTCCAAATCAATCCAGGTTGCTGCAAATGCCATTATCTCATTCCTTTTTATGGCTGAGGTAGTATGCCATGGTATATCTAGACACATTTTCTTTATCCAGTCATTGATTGATGGGCATTGGGGCTGGTTCCATATTTTTGCAATTGTAAATTGTGCTGTTATAAATATGTGTGCACAAGAATCTTTTTTATGTAATGACTTCTTTTCTTCTGGGTAGATACCCAGTAATGGGATTGCTGGATCAAATGGTAGATCTATTTTTTAGTTATTTAAGGATTCACCACACTGTTTTCCATAGTGGTTGTCTTAGTTTACGTTCCTACCAGCGGTGTAAAAGTATTCCCTTTCCACCATATCTACACCAACATCTATTATTTTTTTATTATAGCCATTCTTGAAGGAGGAGGGTGGTATCGCATTGTGGTTTTGATTTGCATTTCCCTGATCATTAGTGATGTTGAGCAGTTTTCATGTTTGTAGGCCATTTGTATACCTTCTTTTGAGAATTGTCTATTCACGTCCTTATCTCACTTTTTGAAGAGATTGTTTGTTTTTTTCTTGCTGATTTGTTTGAGTTCCTTGCAGGCTCTGGATATTAGTCCTTTGCCAGAGGTCCAGATTGTGAAGGTTTTCTCCCACTCTGTGAGTTGTCTGTTTACTCTGCTTATTGTTTCTTTTGCTATGCAGAAGCTTTTTAGTTTCAGTCCCATCTATTTATCTCTGTTTTTGTTGCATTTGCTTTTGGGTTTTGGTCATGAAGTTTTTGCCTAAGCCAATGTCAAGAGGGGTTTTCCAATATTATCTTCCAGAATTGTTATGGTTTCAGGTCTTAGATTTAAGTCTTTGATCCATCTTGATTTGATTTTTAGGTGAGAGATGAAGATCCAGTTTCGTTCTTCTACATGTGGCTTGCCAGTTATCCCAGCACCATTTGTTGAATAGGGTGTCCTTTCCCCACTTTATGTTTTTGTTTTCTTTGTCGAAGATCAGATGGCTATAAGTATTTTGCTTTATTTCCAGATTCTCTATTCTGTTCCATTGGCCTATGTGCCTATTTTTATACCAGTACCCTACTCTTTTGGTGACTATGGCCTTGTAGTGTAGTTTAAAGTCAGGTAATGTGATGCCTCAAGATTTGTTCCTTTTGCTTAATCATGCTTTGGCTATGTGGGCTCTTTTTTTGGTTCCATGTGAAATTTAGAATTTTTTTTTCTAACTCTGTGAAGAATTATGGTGTTATTTTTATGACAATTGCATTGAGTTTATAGATTGCTTATGGCAGTATGGTCATTTTCACAATATTGATTCTACCCATTCATGAGCATAGGATGTGTTTCCATTTGTCTGTGTTGTATGATTTCTTTCAGCAGTGTTTTGTAGTTTTCTTTGTAGAGGTCTTTCACCTCCTTGGTTAGGTGTATTTCTAAGTAATTTTTTTTTTTTGCAGCTTTTTTTTTTTTTTTGCATCTATTGTAAAAGGGGTTGAGTTCTTGATTTGATTTTCAACTTGGTCACTGTTAGTGTATAGCAGAGCTACTGATTTGTGTACATTAATTTTGTATCCTGAAATTTTGCTGAATTCATTGATCAACTCTAGGAGCTTTTTGGATGAGTCTTTAGGGTTATTTATTTCCATGTATTTGTATGGTTTTGAGGATTCCTTTTGGAGTTGATTTCCAATTTTATTCCATTGTGGTCTGAGAGAGTACTTGCTATAATTTTGATTTTCTTAAATTTATTAGGACTTGTTTTGTGGCTTATCATATGGCCTATTTTGGAGACTATTCTGTACTGATGAATAGAATGTATATTCTGCATTTGTTGGGTAGAATGTTCTGTAAATATCTGTTGAGTCCATTTGTTCTAGGGTATAGTTTAAGTTGTTTCTTTGTTGACTTTTAGGCTTGATGACCTGTCTAGTGCTGTCAGTGGAGTATTGAAGTCCCCCACTATTATTGTGTTGCTGTCTATCTCATTTCTAAGGTCTGGTATTAATTGTTTTATAAATTTATAAATTTGAGAACTCCAGTTTTAGGTGCATATATATTTAGAACTGTGATATTTTCTTGTTGGAAAAGTCCTTTTATCTTTATATAATATCCTTCTTTGTCTTTTTTAACTGTTGTTGCTTAAAAATTTGTTTTGTCTTAAATAAGAATAGCTATTCCTGCCCACTTTTGATGTCCATTTGCATGGAGTATCTTTTTCCACCCCTTTACCTTAACTTTATGTGAGTCCTTATGTGTTAGGTGAGTCTCTTGCAGACAGCAGTTACTGTCTAGACATCCAGATTGGTAAATGGGGAGTCAAACTGTCAGCGTTTGCTGATGATATGATTGTAATTTTTTTATTGCCTTTGCAATTCTGTGACTCGTTTTAACTTTAGATTTGGATAACTCAAAACATATTTTTATGAGAGCTTTATTAAATAGTCTTCTAGGGAGAAGATTCATAAATTGATTACATTTTAAAGTGATATTTTTTTCAGAAAACAATTTGATTTTAACACAGTTTTACCAATACTTTTTTTTTTTAATGAACAGGACTTCTGGAAACTTTTCAAAACAATAATGCATTACTTGACCAAATTCAGAAGTGCCTAGAGGCATACTTAGAATCAAAAAGAGTTATCTTTCCAAGGTAAGTTTATAAAGCAACCTAAGATATTTTTTAGTAGTTATGACTGTCAATCAAGTTGAGGTTATAGTTATAACCTCAAAGCATCAAGGAACTAGAGAAAGAAACAAAAAAGATCTATGATAATGAAAATCCAACTAGTTATCATAATTGGGGAGTATAAGTCTCAAGGATAAAATACAATATTCAATAAATAGTTAAGTGGGTAAGTAAGATACTGAAACAATTTTTTTTAATTTTAACTTTTTTAGTATATCATAGGTGTGTTATGGGGTACATAACATGTTTTGACATAGGCGTGTAATACATAATAATCACATCATGTAAAATGAGGTATCCATCCCCTCAAGCATTTATCCTTTGTGTTACAAACAATCGAGTTGTATTCTTTCAGTTATTTTTAAATGTACAATTAAATTATTATTGACTATTAAATTATTATTGATTATTAAATTAAATTATTATTGACTATAGTCAATCTGTTGTACTATCAAATACTAAGTCTTATTCATGCTTCCTATTTTTTGTACCCATTAAATATCCCCACCTCCCCATCCCCAACCCTTCCACTACCCTTCCCAGCCTCTGGTAACCATCCTTCTACTCTCTGTCTCCATGAGTTCAATTGTTTCAATTTTTAGGTCCCACAAATTGAAATGATTCTTGATCACCCCATTGTTTTACTGTTTCATTGTTGAATGAATATGTGTGCCTGTTGCATGTGTGTATATGTGCACAATGTGTGTGTAAAAGGTTAAGAGAGACTGGTGTTACCTGAGCAATTTTCTTTAGGTTAATTGGTGGGGATGCATGTTAAGCTCTCCAAGACGCCTAGTCTTGAGGAGAGTGAACCACACCCTTTCTCATGGGCATAGCAAGCACCCTTAGCACATCTCTCTACCAAAAAATATTCTTATCTCTAGCTGTCCAACCTCTCCAGCTTTAACACTTTTATACCCTCAAGCGACTGAGGACTCTAGAGTCTTCACCCATCTCCCCATAAGTCAGCCCCAGGTGACCTGACATCTCATTTTGAAATATGACAACTCTAGTCCTAGAACTTCAGTCAAAACTGCAACTGAAATTTTAACATCTAGTTATATTACTTGGGAAAGCTTTGGTCAAAAACACAGAAGCCACTCGAGGTGTTTAGAGCAAAAGTTTCAGTCAGGGAATTAGAAGTTTTCACTGGTGCTAGACGCAGAAGAAGGGAAGAACTGAGGACCACTTTGAGGAAATCTGGAAATACAGGCAGAGGTCTCAGGGAAGTGCCACCAAAGTCTCAGCTTCCTGCAACAAGAAAGGGAGGGATTGTCAGGAGGACACCTGAAAACCAAGGATAAAATCCCACCAGCTTCAGTCATTCATGCTCAAGTTGGGGAATAATGGCTTTGCTTCCTCCCACCTTCTCAGTCACATAGAAGAGCATCTCATAGGCAGCATTTAATCTGAAACCTTACTGGAAAGAGATTCTAGAAATGTCATTCCAGCTTTTCCCTAATGCAGGGATATTGCTAAGTTGACCGTCAACAATCTAGACATTTACTAAATGCTGGTTTGTACATTTAGTCCTCCAAAACATGAGAGAGTTGGGGATAAGAACAGCAGTAAAAAGGACCCTTGATTGGGGAAAAAAAAAAAAGTTTGAAAATCACTGTCTTAAATGTTAATAGTTAATTGCTCTAATCTGTTCTAGTATGAACTAGGATAGTCAGTTGGAATAGTAAATAAAATTCCTTTTGAGTGATTTGGAGAGATTAAACATAATACAAGAACTATATTACATGAAGTCTGGCATTTAGAATATTGTTGATTATCTAAAGCAGGGACAAACAACTTTTTTTCATAAAAGGTCACATAGTAGATATTCAAGGCTTTGTAGGCTTTACAGTCTCTGTAGTCAGGTCCGCTATTGTAGCACTAAAGGAGCCACAGACAGTATGTCTGCATGGCTGTGTGACAATGAAACGTTATTTACAAATACAGGTGATGGGCCAGATTTGGCCTGGGGCTGTAACTTGCCAACCCCAATCTATAGCAAAATAATATTCTGTAAGTTTACAATTTCCTTTACCTATCTTGCTGGTAATAATATGGAATATATATAAATGTTTTATTTCTACATATGTATAGCCTCACATGGTTGGAAATGGTGTGCTGGCAAAATTATATTATGCCAATTTTCACAGTAGCACATGTCTCTTATACACATCTAGATGTGTATAAGAGACAGGGTGTTACCTGAGCAATTTTCTTTAGGTTAATTGGTGGGGATGCATGTTAAGCTCTCCAAGACGCCTAGTCTTGAGGAGAGTGAACCACACCCTTTCTCATGGGCATAGCAAGCACCCTTAGCACATCTTTCTACCAAAAAATATTCTTATCTCTAGCTGTCCAACCTCTCCAGCTTTAACACTTTTATACCCTCAAGCGACTGAGGACTCTAGAGTCTTCACCCATCTCCCCATAAGTCAGCCCCAGGTGACCTGACATCTCATTTTGAAATATGACAACTCTAGTCCTAGAACTTCAGTCAAAACTGCAACTGAAATTTTAACATCTAGTTGTATTACTTGGGAAAGCTTTGGTCAAAAACACAGAAGCCACTCGAGGTGTTTAGAGCAAAAGTTTCAGTCAGGGAATTAGAAGTTTTCACTGGTGCTAGACGCAGAAGAAGGGAAGAACTGAGGACCACTTTGAGGAAATCTGGAAATACAGGCAGAGGTCTCAGGGAAGTGCCACCAAAGTCTCAGCTTCCTGCAACAAGAAAGGGAGGGATTGTCAGGAGGACACCTGAAAACCAAGGATAAAATCCCACCAGCTTCAGTCATTCATGCTCAAGTTGGGGAATAATGGCTTTGCTTCCTCCCACCTTCTCAGTCACATAGAAGAGCATCTCATAGGCAGCATTTAATCTGAAACCTTACTGGAAAGAGATTCTAGAAATGTCATTCCAGCTTTTCCCTAATGCAGGGATATTGCTAAGTTGACCGTCAACAATCTAGAGCATTTACTAAATGCTGGTTTGTACATTTAGTCCTCCAAAACATGAGAGAGTTGGGGATAAGAACAGCAGTAAAAAGGACCCTTGATTGGGGAAAAAAAAAAAAGTTTGAAAATCACTGTCTTAAATGTTAATAGTTAATTGCTCTAATCTGTTCTAGTATGAACTAGGATAGTCAGTTGGAATAGTAAATAAAATTCCTTTTGAGTGATTTGGAGAGATTAAACATAATACAAGAACTATATTACATGAAGTCTGGCATTTAGAATATTGTTGATTATCTAAAGCAGGGACAAACAACTTTTTTTCATAAAAGGTCACATAGTAGATATTCAAGGCTTTGTAGGCTTTACAGTCTCTGTAGTCAGGTCCGCTATTGTAGCACTAAAGGAGCCACAGACAGTATGTCTGCATGGCTGTGTGACAATGAAACGTTATTTACAAATACAGGTGATGGGCCAGATTTGGCCTGGGGCTGTAACTTGCCAACCCCAATCTATAGCAAAATAATATTCTGTAAGTTTACAATTTCCTTTACCTATCTTGCTGGTAATAATATGGAATATATATAAATGTTTTATTTCTACATATGTATAGCCTCACATGGTTGGAAATGGTGTGCTGGCAAAATTATATTATGCCAATTTTCACAGTAGCACATACTGCAGAGAATAGCAAATGCCTTTGAGTTAAGAGAATGGCCCAGTACACATTCACACAACCCAATAAGGTTCTCCTGCAACCACCCATCCATCTATTAACTCTTCAACAAATGATGTATTGAATACCAGGTATGTGTGACATACTAGGCTAGATTTTAGGGGAAAGAAATAATACATCTTCACTCTGGAGACTTTAAGACAGATATGTGGGCCGGGCACGGTGGCTCAAGCCTGTAATCCCAGCACTTTGGGAGGCCGAGATGGGCGGATCACGAGGTCAGGAGATCGAGACCATCCTGGCTAATACAAAAAACTAGCCGGGCGAGGTGGCGGGCGCCTGTAGTCCCAGCTACTCGGGAGGCTGAGGCAGGAGAATGGCGCAAACCCATGAGGCGGAGCTTGCAGTGAGCTGAGATCCGGCCACTGCACTCCAGCCTGGGCGACAGAGCGAGACTCCGTCTCAAAAAAAAAAAAAAAAAAAATAAGACAGATATGTGAACACATCAGTTTCTAGCATTTTTACAGTTTTTATGAACAATGTCTATCTTTTATGTACTAGACAGTAATTCTAGGTGTGCATCATCACACCTAAATGCATCATCACTAATTTTCACAGAAATCATGTTTGGAGATATGTGGCCTCCCCAGAAGCCCATGACCAGTATAATTGGAGGTCCAGGAAATTGGTGGACAGGGAAGAGATGTGGCTAAGGAATTTATCTTTTATGTCTATCTAAGACTATACTTCAATTTCAAGTTATATTTTAAGGATGTTCTTTAATCCAGGTTTTACTTCTTGTCAAATGATGAACTTCTGGAGATTTTGGCCCAGACACGAAATCCACAGGCTGTGCAGCCACACTTAAGGAAATGCTTCGACTCCATTTCAAAGCTCGAATTTGCTCTCATGCCTCCTGCTGAAGGAAAGATTCCTGGTATTGATGGAGAACCAGAAAAGGTTTATACTAATGATATTTTGGCAATGCTGTCACCAGAGGGAGAAAGGGTGAGGTGCTTTTGTTTATATTTCTTTATTGATGAACTTTGTTACTCTTCTAGGGTTATTCTCGCTCTAAGCATACAGGTACTCTGTTGGCTCAGCAATTTCAAGGATAACCAAGATAAAATTCTTGCCCTCAAAGAGCTCAAAGTCTAACAGAGAAGTAGTCGAACAAACAACTGAAAATCACCACAGAAAATGCAATAACAAAGACATGTGTTCTGTTGTTGGAAATATAGTGGAGAAAACTAGAACCATGTCTTATTTAACTCCCCACAAGAGGCACACTAATGGACTGATTAAGAGTACTGGTTCTACTATCAGGCCACTGGGACTAAGTCCCACCCCTTAATCTCATCCAAAAGACAGGGATTAGTAATTGTATCTGATTAATGGAGTGATGAGCCTGTTCAGGGGATAGTGTATGTAAATTACTTAAAGCAATACCCAGTAAACACTATTTAAGTGTTAGTTGCTGGCAGCAGCATCTCCAGGGCACTGCACAGCCCCTGGCATATGGGGAACACCAAGAGAGTGAATATATTAGCACACTGTGAGGAATCAAGTGACTTCACAGAGGAGAGCTACACATATGCACACACACACAAAGTCAAGTATGATGGAAGGGGGAGTATCTTCTACGTGGGCATGGGAGACATTTCAGACACAGGAACTGTGCAGGGAAATGCTAAGGAATTGGGTCCAGTAAGAACACAGTGGTGTATCTATGGGAACATATAAACATTTTATTTGTTCTGAATTGATCCTCTTGCAAAAGAATTTGTTTATCACTGGTGCAGAAGAGAAGGGGAAAGACCGAGGATAGAATCTCAGGAAAACATGAAATGTAAAGAGAGATTAGAAGAAGAGCAGATCAAGGAAACCAAAACAGCCATGACAGTCAAGCCATTGGAAGTCCAAAAAAATAGATACAAGAACTGAAAAGTGTCATTTGGACTTTTCAGTTGGGAGGACCTGGGAAAACTTGAGAATAGAAGTGATCAGGGACAAAAATCAGATAGCAGCAAGTAGGAAAGTGAAAATAAGTGAAGAATTCCATGCAGTGCATGTAGACTACTCTTTCAGGGAGTTGACTCCAAGTGGAAGCAGTAAAATAAAGCAATAGGTCGGGTGAAAGGAGATAGATGTATAGTGGAATGTCAATAGAAGTTTCAGTATTTGTGGTCAGGCTTCAGCGTTTATATAGCTTAGGATTCTGTCATGGAAATACAGAAGGCATACAGCTTACAAGTCCCACACAAGCCACTTTATCAATGCTCTGATTACCTTTTAGGTTAGCTTGGGGAAAGGCCTCAAGGCCCGAGGCAATGTAGAAGAATGGCTTGGTAAAGTGGAAGAAGCCATGTTCACATCTCTGCGTCGCCTGTGCAAAGCTGCCATCGCTGACTATCAGGGGAAACTGAGGACAGACTGGGTGGTGGCTGGCCACCCTTCTCAAGTAACTCACACTCACATTTTGTATTTCTGAATTCTTTTTTGGTGATATGTATCACATATTTAAGAAAGATGTTTTCTTGCAGGTTATCCTGACCGTTTCTCAAATTATGTGGTGCCGTGATTTGACTGAATGTCTGGAAACAGAACACAGTAATCACATAGAGGCCCTGGAGAATTTTGAAAAAGTAAATTTTGAGGTGAGATCTGTAACAAAGTGACATTATTGTCTTGCAAGACGGTCTTAGTGGGGTTTTTTTAAAGCATAGTTAATGCAAATTCACTTTATTTCAGAAATTCTAATGCTCTGACATGACTTACAAAGCTTTAGAATTCTCACTAAAATTATTTGTGTTTTACCTTTTTTAGAGACACTACCTTAATGTATGTGTAGTATTCATATGAATACTTGTGAAAATAGGAGGAAAAACAATTCCAGAACAATTCCATCACGGTTATAATGGTTTGCAACTTTTAAGGATAAACTGTATTCACTAGTTCCTGGATACCTCTCAGGGAAGTTTATTCAGTCCAGGAAAACCTCCAGATTCATGCCATTTCTATTTTTAGGCTCTAATTCTATTTCTGCTATTTTGTAGAAATACATTGCCTGTCAGGCAACTAACAGAAATAGTTAGAAATAGAAATAGTTGCCTGTCAGGCAGCTAACAATAAAACAACAAATAATTCAAAGAATTTACCATCAAGAACTTTTAGCTATAGCTAGGAAATGCTATTTTACTAAATAGCATTTAAATAGCACTAAAACTTTATACTTGTTGAACAGCAACTCCACATTTCCTCCTCTCCCTAGCTCCCTGTAATCACCATATTACTCTTTTTCTATGAATTTAACTATTTTAGATACTTCATATAAATAGATCATGCAGGACTTATCCTTCTATGACTGACTCATTTCATTTAGCTTGATATCCTCCAGGTTTATTCATGCTGTCACATGTCATGGGATTTCCTTTGTTTTAAGTCTGAATAATAAATATTTCATTGTATGTGTATGCCACATTTTCTTTTATTTTTTTCATTTTTTTTTAATTAAATTTATTTATTATTATTATTATACTTTAAGTTGTAGGGTACATGTGCATAACGTGCAGGTTTGTTACATATGTATACTTGTGCCATGTTGCTGTGCTGCACCCATCAACTCGTCATTTACATCAG